GTGTGTGTGTGTGTGTGTGTGTGTGTAATCTTACAAATGATACTTGGTTGCCTTTGCCAGCCTGCAGAAGCCTATGTAATACCCTATTAAAGTGTCTGTACTATTGATGCCCCAGAACTGAGTCACCATTTATGACAGTGTTTCCACTGGAAAATGCTTTGGTATTTCAGGAAAACTGGTTATGTGCTGCTGAGCAGCAGGAGCTCCCATTTCCTCTGATTTGGGGAGTAGAAATTTATTATTAGTTCATAGTTGGGCTCCTGAGGGAACCTATGGGAAGGACTGCCATTATGGCTTGGAAAGATTTTTAAGTTTAGGTAAAACGGGGCTCTGAATACTATGTGGGACTGATGGATGATCCAACGTGTTATTTTGAGGACTAGGTAGCTCTAGCCAGGGCCAGTAAAGGTATGAAAGAGATGACTGTTTATCCCAGATAGTAGTGTTCCTGATAGTTTCAAGTAGTGTGGTAAGACTGGAAAAGATATAAAGAGGTCTCCAACAACAGCAGTGGCAAAGAGGAGTTTCTGTGGCTTCATTAGGTGGAAGGTAAGTAGATACATTCTAAATTGAGTTGTTTATATTTGTTCCTTACCAATTAAATTTAATCAGAAATCTCTGTCGTAATTATAACAACAGTTAACAAAATATATTATATAAACAGCTGACATTTACTGACTGCTTAATATGTGCTAGTTGTTATGACATCTGTATTGTCATTTAACCTTTAAAACAATATATTAGATTTATAATCCCATTTTACAGATGATGGCTAGAGAGTTTCAATAACTTTATTAAGGATAGCTGAGCAACTTTCAGGAAAAGCTTTCAAACTCAGTGTTGTCAGAGCCTAGAGCAGTTCTCACAGTGTGGTTCTAAGACCAGCAGCATCACCATCACGTTTGAACTTTTAGAAAGGCAAAGTATTGGCCCCCATACCCAGATTTTTAGTTTAATAGTTTAATAAGCCAGCCAGGTGGTTCTGATGCATGCTAAAGTCTGAGAGCCACTGTTCTAAGTGTGGGTACTTTCAGTAGCGTGATACTCATTTCAGATTTAGAAATCAGGTTTAAGTAATGTTGGTCTTTTGTACATATTTGAAGAGATTCCCAAACCTGGCTGCTCATCCATTTGTTAAAATATAATTTCTCTAGTTAAGGATTACTGGTTAAGAAAATCCCGGTGGGCCCAGTAACTTGTGTTTTTATAAATGTACCAGATAATTCTGATGTAACCAGTCCATTTTGGGACCACTGCTATAAAAGGAATTTTAAAAATAAAGGTTCAACTCTGATATTTGAATAATACATGTATATTTAAGCCCAGACAGTTAACATATTTTGGAATTCATGACTGAGCATTGATCAAAATGCTGAATAATGTGGAAATGCTATCTGTATAAACTATATCTGGTTCAATTATCAGGGTTTCAAGTGAAGTAACAAGCCATTTAGAATGTCCTGAATCTCCTATAATGCTCATAAAATTTCATCTTCTACCACAATATATATGCCACTTGGGTAAGAGAAAGTATTCAAATTTATTCCGTGTTTCTAGTTTTCCAAGCATTTACTAGTTATTTGTAATGCTGTCAAAAGGATTGTGGAGTCCTAATTTTTGCTTAGTAAGCATAGTGGCCTTTGGTTTAAACAGATGTGGATTGAGTTCCATTTGCAACCCTTATTGACTATGTCATTATAAAAGAGGATCTTGGGGCACAAGCAATTTTAGTACATTATGTTTTATTTAATCCTTACAACAAGCTGTGAGATAGGTACAATTTACAGATGAGGAAAGTGTGGCCCTGAGAGGTTAATTCACTTGCTGAAGGTCAGATAGCTGTTGCAGTCAAGATTCAAACCCAGGGATTTTGGCTCCTGAATCCATGCTCTCAACCACTAGCCTGTTTAGCTCTCTTATGATATTTGTAAGTCTCTCTCATATAATTAGAATGGAATAACAGAAAAAAAGAAAGCTTTCCTGGACCTTATGTCCTTCCAAGACCCAATTCCTCTGCCCACCTTTATAAAAAAAAGCCTTCAAAAGAATTGTCTGTGTAGCCTATTTCTACTTCCTCTCCTCCCATTTTCTTAAATGCAATCCAGTCACACTTAATAAAATTGATAATCGTTATCATGGCTTCTCAGTCCTCTATCAGAGAGGTCTTTCTAACATATATTTGTTGATTTATCTATTGCCTCTCTCCAAATGAATGAATGAGACATGATTTCAGACCTAAGCTCATAATTAAATGAAAGACACATGTCTGTGTCCTTCAAGCAGCATTAAAGACTGAAACAGAATTTGAGTAAGTAAACAAGAGGAGACAAATCAGTCATTAATTCATACTCTTGGAAAAAAAAATCTATGGGATACACACTCCCCCCCCCCAAAAGTTTATTTCTACTTATATACATGTTATATAAAGTATCTCAAAAATGTGGGAGAATATATATTGAAAAGACTAGTAGGAAATACAGTCCAGTAGTTCTACACTCAAGAACTACAACCATTAATTATTCCTCTGGGTCATGGGATTATTAACTGATTTTTAAAATTTCATTTTTATGCATTCCAGACTTTTCACAATGAATACTCTAAAATTAGAAAGTTTTTAAAAATTAATTTTCAGCTTTGCCTCTAAAACAGAATTGTTTTCACTTTTGTTAGAACACCTAAACTAGAAGGAAGTACAATTTAAAAATAATGCCATAAAGTGTGTGTATACACACATACGTACATATATATGTAAGTATATACCCATATATGTGCATACGTGCTAGATCTAGCATTTCCCATCTTTGCCATTCTGAAGTGGATAGTGAGACATTTATTATATTATTGCATATTTGTATTATCTGTTTTATCGGTTTACTTATCACACTGAAACAGGAAATGATAATTTACTTGGCTGTCTTCCTTCTGTACTAAAAGCTCCTTAAGGAAAAGGGTCATGTTTCCTTTGACTTTTATATTGCCAGCACCTAATACTGTGCCTTCTATAATAGGTGAATAGTATTAAATAAATATATTAATTTCATCAAATGAGCAGTATTTATTCTTTTAGATTTGCCTGTCATGTTAGTAGGGAGTTTATTTTATAGGACTGCTTACAGAGATTAAGGCTTATTGAGTGTTTAACATATGCCATGCACCTATGCTACCTCACTTAGTCTTCACAGAGTTTCAGGGTGTTTACTAAACCCCCTTTTTTATAGATGAAGAAACAGGCTCAGAGAAACTACCATAAATCACTAGCTTAATCACAAATTAAAACAGGTATGTCTGACTTCAAAACACATGTTCTTTTCATTGTTAAAATAGTTGAGCTGTTTTTAGATGAGAAGATTAAAAAAGTAAAAAGAAACCAAAAGATGTTTGCCATCTGATATAAAACAGGTATGTCTGACTTCAAAACACATGTTCTTTTCATTGTTAAAATAGTTGAGCTGTCTTTAGATGAGAAGATTAAAAAAGTAAAAAGAAACCAAAAGATGTTTGCCATCTGATATAAAACAGAATTGAGATCAACTTATCCACCACTGTCAAGTTTAATAGCTATTGGAAACTTTCTCTTTTTCAGCAAACATTTTTTAATGTTAAGCAACACAGAAGAGGAACAAAAAACATTGATTTATTAAGTAAATTATTTCTGATTTCATTTTTTAATCACAAATTGTTTTAAATTTTGTAACACTAATTTAAAGATGGATAAAATCAAGACTGAGTAAACTGATACTAGCATTGATAAAATCAAGACTGACTGAGTAAACTGGTATTATAGTATGGAGCCACCAGTTAAAGAGGAATTAGATCTTTAGGAATAGAACTTTTGGAGTTAGGCTTTTAACTGTGTCTAGTATATTGTTCAACTCTTCTTAAGAATACTTGAGCAAGTAATTTCTTATATTACCAGTGATCAGATGAAACATTTGTTATGTAGTTTCATGTTGGTATATAATTAATTTTAATGTGATCAGGGAACAAGTACATGTAAATAAGTTTGGTAAGGAATATTTTGAGATTATATTACTCTTATATGATAGTTATTTAAGTTAGTTATGATCCATGTTCATGGATCCCTGGTTATGTGGAAGGGTTTGAACATCAGTCACATAAAATAGCTTGCAGAGTTTAGTGCACATGTACTTTTTTGGGGGGTGGGGGAGAAGATCTGTAGATTTTATTAGATTTGCTGAAGAGTTTTTGACTTCTACAAGGTTAAGAGCTGCTGTTAGAATGAAATCTTGTTTTGACTCTAATCTTTTTTTATGTATGAGACCAGAATGCAGAATGGTTACATTCTCTAAAATACCTGTTTGCAAACTGAACTTTTACAAGTTAATTTAATGTAATTTCAGATTAGTGTTTAATTGTCAGTGGTTTTTAAACCCGTATCACATTTTTTTGTTCTTTTCTATTGCATTCAGATATTTTTGAACTATGTGCTGAAGGATTTAACTTTCAGTGTAATTTTGTTATAATTTGAACAATTTTCTCAGTTTTTAAAAATATTTTTGGACTTGGGTAATTTAGTGTGTAGTCTTTTTATTTCATATCAGTTTGTCAAATTGTCAAGACGTATATTACTGAATATTAGAGTCTTAATTTTTATGGGAGAAAATACATTTTCATTTTGACATTATACATCATGTTATTGGTGCCAATTTTACAAGTGTCATTTAAAATACTTTTACATGAATGTTTTTGAAGTACACTCTCCAAAATTAATTTTTTCATTGCATTTTAGGTAAAAAGATTGCCGTATCAACTCAGGAAAGCAGTAGCCTCCCTGTCTTTGTATTTTAAACTGCAGCAACAACTTTGATATCAACAATGAAGCAATGATACCTGAGAACAAAAGAGCATTTGCCAATGAACTGTCATCACAATTTCAAGTGATTGTATAAACAGAAACAAGCTGTAACAGACCTATGTGTCCACTAGTATAGGTAGAATGCTTTTGTCTGATGAAATTTATTTAGAAGCAGTTTTCATAGATATTATTTAAATTATATCTATATCAAATGAAATAAAAATGAGCGAGGCCCCCAGATTCTTTGTTGGGCCTGAAGATACAGAAATAAACCCTGGAAATTATCGACATTTCTTCCATCATGCAGATGAAGATGATGATGAGGATGATGAGTCTGTAAGTTTCTTTGGTGAAACAAAACCAATACAGTATAGGCTTTTTACTAATCGCTGTCAATGTGAATTAATCTTAAATGAAGATTTTTTTTCACATGCAAATTTATTGGAGATATTTTTAGACTGAGAAAGTATATTTTGTTTCACGAGTGATATTGTGGAATCTGTGGTGAATTAAGAAATATAGTTAGGGGCCAAACTTCTAAATTGTTTAATGATGCCTGTTTTAGTTTCTTTCAGTGATATGCATAGCATAACTCAGGGTTAGGTAGAAAAAATGGCAGAGAGAAACAGAATAATCTGGGCCATAAATCAAAAAGGTTTCTTGCGTGTAGAAATACGTAACAAATACATCAAGATGAAGTAGAAAGAGGTACTAAAACAGGAGGACTATTTAACCAGATTTATTAAGTTTATCATGTTGCCAATACAAGTGCTGGTTGACCTAAAGATCCCTGTTTATTAACTATTCAGAAGTCTGCAAACTGAGTGGCTAGAAGCTACCTCAAGTATCTGTGTGTGTGTGTGTGTGTGTGTGTGTGTATGTGTATAAGTAAGTCTTATTCTCTTTTTGATGTATTATGATGTTATATGCATACTGGATCTTAAGAATGACACACATTTACTATGTCCATTTTGCTATACTTACATTAGACCAACATTTTTCTTACTCAACAGTGGTCTTTTTTTTTTTTTTTGCAAGTAGAGATTGGTTTACTCTGAGAACTGATTTAAAATATTTGTGTTTTTTTATATTTCAAATCGGAAAGAGAATTTGGTTTCCTAGTAGGAGATGCACAGCGCTGTACTTGCCCAGTCACTTTTATGCTTAATGGTTTTTTTTTTTTTTTTTTTTGCAAGTAGGCCTTGAAAACCAAGGTCTCCCATTTTATTGGTATCAGAATTACCTGGAAAGCTTGTTAGAAAAGCAAATCCCCAGAAGCCCCCCACCTCCAAGGTCCTGAGCAGCTGGAGGTACACAGTCATGTTGAGGGGGGAGGGGTAGAGAATGGATGGATTCT